AAAAGGTGACAAGGATCCGAGCCCCCCGACCCCACGGAATATCGGCTTTAAAATGAGGAATAACAGAGGATTTCAGAACAACTAAAGCAGCAGTTGTAATAATAACAGAAACGCCAAAGAGTCACATCTAATAGAAATATATAAAAGCATTTATTTTAATTGTGTAGCAGTCAGTTTATAATTTTGGCAGCACTGCTGTGCATTTTGAAAATGTATTTTCATGCCTCTGTTCAAGGCTTAGTCTTTCTATCTTTATAGCCACTGGTGTAATTAAGTTCATAAACTCAACAAGTACTATACTTGGGTACAATTTTGAGATACTTGTACTTTACTTAAGTATTTAAATGTTTAAAACACATGTGTGTTGGTTGGTTCTAAAAGGGATGAGGTGCGTTACGTGTGTATCATTGGTGCTCGAGTTGACTGCCTGAACTACCTCGCAGGCTTCGCCCCAGACAATGCATCTATTTTGATCAGATGTATTGAATTAACAAAGAAAAACAACTTTGTTGACTGTAGATCACTATGGTTGCACATTTGCTCCTGTCAACCTACAGTTTTCAGATTAAAACAATAATCCGTCAAAACTGTGTGTGAAAAAGTCTTATATGATCTCATTGCCCTCTAGTGATTGTATTTCTCTTACAATTCCATTTGAAGTAAATGATCCAATGCTCCCACCTTGTGTCTAATAGATATAATGTGTATACAAGTGTGACCTTTGCTCTGTTTCTAGTCTGCCGAGTCATAAACCAGTAGATGTCCCTACTTTCTTTGAGAAAACTTTAGGACACACAACCACATTAGTGTACACAATGTGGTTTTGCGTACATTTGGGATACAATGTAATCAAAAAGTGAAGCAGCCTGAAACCTAGAAAGAGAGAAAAGGAAATAAGCTTAATGCTTTATAAAATCAAATCAAAGTTTATTAATATAGCCCAATATCACAAAACACGTTTGTCTCAGTAGATTTTACAGATTAAACATATGACCATGCTAAAATATAAATAATGAGATTTAATGATATCATTGTGAGAATACAGATTGAATGTTGTTGGAGATCAAAGAGAGAGCATGACGGTAAATAAACACACTCAGAAATACAAATGGACGGGACAAAGGAAACAAGGATGTGCAGCTCGTCTTCAGCTGCAGGTAATTCAAAGAGAATCAGGGCCGGGGAATTGCTCCGTGGTGAAATGAAAACAAAGAGGAAGTGAAGATAGAGGGAGGTATGTGAGCCGACATATTGACACATAAAGGGTGATTATAGGTTTTTATTTATTTTGCATGTTGTAGCTTCTTCTTCTTCTTCTTCTTCTTCTTCTTCTTCTTCTTCTTCTTCTTCTTCTTCTTCTTCTTCTTCTTCTTCTTCTTCTTCTTCTTCTTCTTCGTGTCATTCAAATGATGTACATTTTCCCCCTGATAACAAAAGTCATGTGGGCTCTTTGGTTGGTTAGTTTTATGAACTGGTTCGCACTAAATCCTAATATGTACACTGTTTTACTTATCATAAGTGTATGCTCCTCCTTGATCCTAAAACCCAGCCATAAAGACAATCCCATCCCTTTATGCATATGCCCCCCCTGACTCAGCAGATTCAGACCAGCCTAGTGCACAGACAGTGACAATCATAACCCCTCCGGCTCTTTACTGCGAGGGACGCTTCCGTCTTCAATAGTAAGTGGAATTGAACTGCGTGGCTGCACTTGCATTTCAATTTAGCAAAAATCTGGGTATATTGATGGAACTTGTTTTAAGTAGTTTTGGGTATCTTTTTCTTCTTCTGGATAACTGAAATGCAATGTAATTAGTAGTATCGTTAGAGAACATAGCTTAGAGGTCCTGTTTTTTTTTTTTTTTAACAGTCTGTTACTTTTGGGTAAGGGTGCGGTCACCATTCTTAACTTTAAGGGGGGTCAATTTATCGTAACGCTGTCACGTGACACCTGATGGCATCACCCTGGCATCACCCAGCGCCTTGGTCCTGTATGACCCCACGAAGACGAATAAACGCCGTTTCGCTGCTGGATAATAAGTATTGCGTGTGTTATTTTCAGAGATGCGCAGCGACGTGGGGATGGCCATGCAGATCGTGCACCTGTTGATTGTCTACACATGTAAGTATCAAACGTTTTTTCTGCATAGCATTAACAGTAGTTATTATTACTTGCATCGGTATTTCTACACCACAGGGCGTTAACACCACATGGTAAACGCTACATAACTGCTACTCATTTGTGGCAGACGCCATAAGTGCAGCGGTATAATGCCTTGAGTTCATGAATGAGACTGTGGTTGGTTTATAAGTCTGTAATAACAACATTACAGCAGAGGTTATGTTATCCAATGAGAAAGTGAAGTGAAATATGGTTGTAATTAGCACAGATGATTTAAAATGCCTCTTTAATGCATGACGCAATGACAGCTCTTTGATGAGGAAATCAACGCTCTCCTGCTACTCCTCAAAGCTATCGTAAATGTGTAAATCCTAGCCTATACCGTGAAGATTACAACTTTGTCGGGGTGCTCGTCTCTTATTTGCTTGCGTATCGACATGTTTAAAGTAGTTTTCTGCAGGTTTAGCCCCTGTATTGTCCTCCAGTTTGCACGTGTAGTCAGTTTGCTTGGTAATCCCCACGCTGACGCCGAAAAAGTAGAACAAAAATCACTAAAACAATAACGTTTGAAAATCAGCAGTGGTGGAAAGTACAATTCTTCAACTTGAGTCTTATTTTGTCATTGAATACTTTTGTTGTGCTACCTCTACTTCCACTCTTCTACATGTTTTAGGTTAGATGACATGTCACTTGGTATAGATGCTTTTACCCAAAGCGAGTTGGGCAATCCCCACAGGAGTGAGTCCCAAGAACTCAGCAGCATGCTGACCGTATTGAACCAGCCACTGAGCCACACCCATACACCTGTATACTCCCCCACATGTATTTAATAATTTTAGCTAGTAACTTTCAGGATCATGTTATTCATCCAAAAATGTAATTGACTAATGAATTAAGAAGTACTTGATTAGATACCTGGCAGTACAGCAAGTCATTTCATTGGCAAATAATGTACATTACAAGTATTTTGTATTTTGGCTCATTATTGAAAACCTACAGCATTACATTTTTTTCATTCAAAGTTATTTTATTTGTAATGCATTTGTCTTTTTCTCTGTCTTTCCCAGTCCTCCTCCAAAAGCGTTGCAGCGCCAAGGAACTTCACTGCACAGTCGAAGAGTTGGATGGCTTGCCCACGTACATTGTCCGAAAGGACAATGCAACCAACTGCATTTGCTATTGGTCGCATCCCAATGTGAGTAAGACAAGCCCAGATAGCTCATCTCTAATCAGAGTTTTTTTTTCTCTGACATGACACATGTTTCCTATGTTAAAACCATCCCTCTGCAAAACTCTATTGAACATACTGAATATACTTCCGCCATTATTGATGGTATACCTGTGTACTTCTGTTCGTACATCTGCTGTTTTGAGTGCACAAGTGTGTCCCAATGTGAAATATGGCACAATGCAATATGATCACTCCGGTGGTGCACAAAGTCACAAAGTTCTCCTGACACTGTTTCTCTGCTGCCCCAGTTCTCTTTGTCTCCCCCCCTTTCCTCAACGCTCTGCTGAGCTGCAGAAGCAGATGCCCTCCTCCCTTCCCCCCTAATGAATAGCATCATCATGCATACTGTGTGTATTTCCCTCTGTACGACCCAGCAATCAATCACACAGTCTCACCCCATGCATGCCACCTTTAGCAGTAGACTGCGAGCACCGAGGAGCACCACAGAACGCCACAGGAGGTCTTTTCTTCCTGTGGCCATCACACTTTATAACTCCTCCTCCTTCTTCAGGAAGGATAATTAAACTATAACACCATGTGCAATATTAGGCTAATGTCATAATCTCATAACATTTGCTATTTTAATATTTAACCTAATTTTATTTAGTACGATGAGAAATTAGCAATTAGTATTAGTTGTTTTTAGTATTTGAGATTTAGTGTTTTACTTGAATGTGCAATATGACTTGTCACCAAATGACTTGTCACTGTCCCAGGCTGCTAACTATTCTCTACTGGGGCACTGTAATACGTTCAACTTTGTATATTGTATATTGAGCTATTGTATATTGCATACTTTTATTAAGATGTATCTGTATTTTGGAGCAACCTGGCAAAAAGATTTTCCTTCGGGATTAATAAAGTTCTATCCAATCTAATCTAATCTAATCTAATCTAAACACCTTAACATTACACCTAGATTTTGCTGAATAGGGATTATAATAATAATTATATAATATTATATAATAATATATGATATAATAATATTATTATATAACACAGAGTGCCTCTTTAAATAAAGTTGACCACTTAAATAAACATAGCATAGAGAGCGGGTAGATAAAAGATTTTGAATCTTTTTTCTGGATTCATGTAATGGAAAGATATGTGCCCAAAGTCAAGAGTTTTTTATATGAACAGTCATTTTGAAGTTGTTTGTAAAGCTGCCATGTTTTTGTTTTCTTCCATATAAAGGGGAACAATCTGAAAATTGACAATTTGGAAAATGAAATGAAGGAGCAAAGCAAGTGGACTTTTCCTTTAGAAGTCTGCCACAACCAGCTGCACTTCTCATGCACCTGCCTCTCTGAGGTATTACACTCTAAAACCATTAAATGCACACACATCTCATTAAGTATGCAAAGTAGAGTTAAATACTCTGAATTATGTGTTGATGCATCATGTTTACATGACACATTGGAGCACTGTATTGTTATGACTGTTTCAGCATAAGTACTTAAACTGAGAACTAATTACTAGAGCTGGGACTCGATTAAAAAAATTAATCTAATTAATTAGAGGCTTTGTAATTAATTAATCGAAATTAATCGCATTTTTAATCAAATATACATGTTTGACCTGAGAACAGTGAGAAGCAATTTTCACATGGATTTTATATACCATTGAATAATGACTGAATACATAAGCTTAAGCAACAAAACATTGTTTATTTTTTTTCAAGGTGGTACTTTTTTAAGTAAAACACAATACTTTCTAGTACATTTAGAACATTGGAAACCCTGACTATTCGAAAACATCTCTCTTGCTTCAGAGGCCATAACAGACTTTGTTGATTTAAAAAATCTAATCAATTTCAGTCCAACTATCTCAATAACCTTGGCCAAAACAATAAACAGTTCAACATAAAGTGCCAGTTGCACCAACAACATAATAAATAGTTCAACATCAAGTGTACCATTTAAAATAAAATAAAAAAGTGCCAGTGATTGACCTCAATCCCTCCTATTCTTCCAATATCCTGATGAAAAATAAAATCTCTGTTGCATAGGCCACTGTTTGATCAACATTTCAGTAACAAGCCCATTGGCCTCAGGATACCTCTAAGACTACTTATTCTGCTTCTCTTTCAGCCAGTTGCTGAGACAAACTAGCCTGTTCACATTTTCAGAGCTCAAGGCTGCCCTCTTCTTTTGAACTATGTTACCTGCCAGTGAGAAAAGTCTCTCGCAAGGGACAGAAGTGGCAGGGCTGCCCAGATACTTGCGGGCCAGGTCAGAAAGCTGTGGATGGGTCCCCTCATGAGTGGACCACCACTGCAGTGGGCAGTCTGTCTCACTGATGGTGGGCTCTGCCCTGTAGCGGCCCAGAGCCCTGTTGGGCCCCTCTTCATCCTCTGATTCAGAGTCTGAATTAAACAGCAAGAAGCTCCTCTTCCTTGCTGGCTCCTCTGTGGGTTCTGGAGTGGCTCTGTCTGGTTCTTTTTGCAGCAGTGCCTCAACGCTGGTCCACACCCCTCCTCGCTCTCCTCTTGGTAGACACTTTAGGTCCTTAGAATCAGAATCAGAATCAGGTTTATTGTCACATCACAGATTTACAGAGTAAAAAGGTGGGTGAAATTCATTTTCGTACATGGTTCCCATCATATTGTTATTCCATAGAAAGAAAGAGGGGGGAGGGGAAAAGAGGGGGGGGCAGGGGAAAGGAGGTCAAAAAGCAAGAAAAGAGAAAAACAAAGAAGACCATTACACATGTTACCTTAAAGCGCGGGTCGAGTGCTGTAGCCACCCTGAGCCATCCATGGTTGAGTGCATCTTGGCGTTGAGACAGGTCCTTTTTAAAGGCAGCCTTGAACCTCACCACATAGGCTGGGTCGTCATCTGAGACCTCCATGATGCGGGTCAGGTGGCGGAGAGCAGGTAACACAACAGAGCACGAGACATAAGTCTCACCCCCAAGGAGCTCAGTCACATATCTGCAGTGGATAGTTTAGGAAAGTGATTTATTATTGTACCAATTAATAGTAGATTAAAAACAGTAGCAACTTTATACTATAGTCATAGTGATATTGATATTCAGTACAATACATTTTGGAAAAGCAATTTAATTTATACTGCACAATCATAGTCAATTCACAACGTTTTTCAAGGGACAGCAATGATGAATTAATCCCATTAATAAAACAGTTGGTGGGTGTTTACCTGCATGGTTTAAGGAGGGTCTCGAGCCTCTGCAGTCTGTCCCACTCTGCTGTAGTCAACATGGTGAGATTGTGCTTCTGTTTGGCTAGAGTAGCCTTCACAGCCTCTTGGTTCTTCAGCAGACGAGAGATCATAAACAGTGTTGAATTCCACCTTGTGGAAACATCCTGTATCAGTGGCTCTTTGTCTTGTTCTAGTTCTGTTTGCTCCTTGTGCAGTTCCTCTGTGTTTGAGGGGCTGTGTTTAAAATGCCCCTCTATCTTACGACATCTTGCCAATGTGCCTGTGAACCCGCTGTCAGCAAGGCAAACTGTGATGGTCCTTTGCAACACGTGAGCAACACACGGCATGTGCTGGAATGTGAGCAGTCTCATTGCAGCGATCATGGTTCGGGCACTGTCTGTTCCGATTGTGGTGACTTTTTGTGTGACTTCCCAGGCCTCTGCCACAGACTCAAAATCTTCTGCCACGTTTTCAGCAAAGTGCCTAGTGGTGGTCTTCTGGATGGTCAAGGCAAATGAGTGAAGACGCCACTTGATGTCAATAAAGTGTGCCGTCACACCGAGGTAATTTGAATTGCTTACCGAGGTCCAATGATCCCCAGTCAGGGCAACACATTCGGCTTTCTCCAATAAATTCTCTTTATCTTCCTTTTCATTGTCATAAAGCTGCTGGATTCTTTTTGTCACTGTCTTTCTGCATGGCAGCTCATATGTTGCGTCAGACGATATAATCTGGAGTACCTTTTGCAGCCCCTTATCTTCAACCACTCTAAGTGGTCTACAGTCGAGTGCAATCCAGTGAGCCAGGGAGTTGGTTATTTTCTCAGACGTGGACTTACTTATCCTGGCCCTGAAACCAGTTATCTGGTTGAGTGTGGGTTGGGTCAGGGTGTGGTTCCTTGTACTCGGAGTCGGGCTAACGTCCACGCTAGCTGCTACATGCTTTGCATTTAGGTGATATTTTAGGCTTGATGTGCTGCGGTGATATGCAAATTATTTTTTGCATAATTTGCATACAACCGTGCTCTTATCGACGCTTCCATCCGTCCGTTTTTTAAAACAACATTTCCCATCCACGGGGCCGACCAAAGCGGTCTCATCAGCTTGTTCGTTCATGTTTGACTATTGTTCACCGTGGTTTGTTGTTGTTTGAAGTCCCATGCTGAAGTCATGAACGTTAGTTGGTGCTCCAGTATAATCGGTACGCCTGAAACTCATCCAGTGAGAAACGTTCCGCTGTGCAAAAATAAGTGCGATTAAAGTGCGATTAAAATGCGTTAATTTTTTTAACGCGTTAATTTTTGTGTAATTAATTAATCTTAATTAACGCGTTAAAGTCCCGGCCCTACTAATTACCTTTTATTTTCTTAGACGGAACAAAACACAGCATCCTGCACCGGTAAGTCTCATCACCTGTCAGACTTTGTGTCATATCTAAAGGGTATTTGTGTATATTTACAAACTACTGACATTTTAAAACATGCTTTAGTCTAAAGTTCAATCTTTAAATGTATTTCCCGCAATGTTCTGTCATAACAATATCTTCTTTTTACAGCGGACTGCAGCAGGAAAGAAAGTAAGGCACTACAATAAATGAAATACATTTGAATGCAACACTTGTGTGCTGCATCTAAATATTCCTGTCCTCTGTTACAAGGTGTAGGTGATCAACAAGAGATGAAGAATGCCCCTACAAAGTCTGCTAACGACAACGGTACAAACTTTATTGTTTCTTCAAAATAACATGATAAGTTAATATGTAAAATGGTATCGGGAAAACCAAAAGACAAAACTAAGAGATATGTATATGTAGAAGAAGCTGGTCTAAAGAATAGATTTGACTGCTCCACCTAACTGCACTCTAAATAAGATGAGTAATTTCTCACTCAGTAGTCATCCATTCACACAACAATCACTCATAAGCAACCTGGGATTTAGGCCTTTGCAGACCATTTACATGCACAGAAACCTATGTACACACTACAGTAAGCAGAACCCCCCAAAAGTATAATAGGGCCCCTTTAACTCAAGTATTGCAACCAGACATGTCGAGACATGTCGAGACATGTCGGGACATGTCGGGACATGTCCATGCCCCAGACTAAATAATGCTTAATGCCTTCCATTGTTGTGGCTGTTAATGCTATATTTGCAACACTCTTTAACCTGACGCAAGAATATATACCACATTACAAGCATCTGATAACAGTTATCTGAAAAAAGAGATAAGATTCAGGTATAAACATTGTTTTGAACTGAGCAGAAAGGCATTAAGTGTGAATGAAATCTATGACGTTCTCTCACACTGTTTGTGAAACCTGAGAAACTGTTGTTGTAAAGTTACATAATATTTCATGACTTCTTGTTGACTCAATATAGCGGTGAAATGACAATTATTTGGTCACGGGTGTTGGCCTCAAATCTATTTTCATTCATAAATCCTAGCGTGGGTTGAAGTTACAGTCATCTCACAAAGTCAAATCTTTGCGTAGTAACCCTAAACCTTTTTTGAATACGTTTGAAAAAATCTGTAGTTTTACTTGTAGGCTACTTAAGTGTTTTTAATATTAAGTAGCCTACGTGATGTTACATTTAATGATGTATTGGACATTGAAATATAAATGTTGCCTGTTGGTGGATTAACTGTCAAACAACACTCATCTCTTGACAGTGACTCCCCGCCACCACTCGATGTTGATGGGATCTGGTATCCTCTTTGTTCTTGTGCCGCTGCTGCTGCTGCTTCTCGCCTTCTGTTACAGAGATCATAATCAGGTATTTAAAATCATCTATTTGTTTTCATGAGTTTCTCTGCCATAATCTGACATGTTTTCTAATGCTCTGTTCTTGTTGTTGGTATGCTGCAGGTGCACTTCTGAGAGCGGGAGCAACGACTGCCTGTGTAATAGTTTAGGAACATCAGGGTTTTTTAACTTTTATATGACATTTTTGTAAAAGTATCTCTTAAGGCCAATTCGTTTTTGAGAAGGTTGCTGCACCACAACACTCCAGTGCCTTAACTGTATGAAGAAACACGGCTTGCATACTATATATTTCTATGCTGTTGTCTTCGCTCTATGAATTTAATCAGCTCACGACAATCGTGTAAATTATTTGTGATTTTCTTTACACAAATAATATGGTGCAAGCAAACTCTCGTGAGACAGATGTCAACATACACAATGCTAAATATCTACTACTATAAACTCTGTTTTCTCTCTCAGTATTCCTACTACATTCCAGCTAAAGCCAAACCCAGTCGTGTCCAGATGTTTTTAAAGCTAAATAGTTCTTGCTCTTTTTCTGTTTTGACATAATATTTAGCAGTGTTATGTTTAGGGAGAACATGTCTCTGATATTTCCTTTTTTCGCTTTACTAAATCAGAGTTGTAAGATTGATAATGCCAAAAATACACAAATATTATACTTAGTAATGAAAATTGCACATGTGGTATCAAAGTTGTGGAAGCTGGAAAACTCTCTGGGGCACCAGTGAGTGCACTTTGAGAACCCACGGCTACTTATCTTTCATTGGGTTACATAGCATTAGTGATTCTATGCAGCTGGTTCTGTTATTGATGGATAAATTATGAAAAAGCACTGATATCAGATCATTTTCGTTATAAATCTTAGACCATTTCTGCTGTCACAACAGAGAAACTCAAAACGTTTATGTCCAATTACATGTAGCATTTATTTTTGTATTTATTTTATTTAAGGACTATATTAAAAGAGTAAGGATTCAAATGGTTTTCTTTTTATTTCCAATTATCATCACACAGTTGCCTCAGGGACCAAACATTTTAGTTAAGTTGAACTGAAGCTGTGGAAGCCTACACTACTGATTTTACTGACCCCGTGGTAGCTCTTTGGTTAAGTTGAGTTTGCTTTAATAAATATCTTTCCTTATATTGTGTTTTTTCCACATTCTTTGTTATGGCTAAAATGCAGAGGTGTTTTCCATGATCTGATGATGTTTCTGCCAAACAAATCAAATCAGGTTTTATTTATATAGCACATTTTTAAACAATTTTTGGTCCAGCCAAAGTGCTGTACATATAATAATTACCATACAGTAAGGACACTATACAGTAAATACAACAGCACAATTTGTGCAGAATATCAGTATGAAAAAACGACACCCTCTGACCTTAGACCCTCACATCGTACAAGGAAAAACGTCCGGAGGAAAACCCCACAGGTTAAAGGGAAAAAATGGGAGAGCTGGTGAGGGGAGTTGTGCTCATGTGTGTCTGTCAGGGTTTGAGTTATGTGGGAGCCAATGGGAGCTGAGCTCCCATAAGGACGCAGTGAAATCATACATCTGTGGGGGTCGCCAATACATTACCAACAACCATTATTTTAATCACAAATAATGCATGTGTCAATGTAATGAGTATTATTGACGTCAACGAGGTAAATAGGCTAAAAGAAAAACATGTTTTCCAAAAGAACTACGCATCTCTTGAATGACAATATGCCTGCACTTCACCGCCACGGTGCGCAATCTATGCCTGTGAGCGTGCTGCGCGAGCCGAGATGATGTGTGTGTGCGTAGTTGAACCTTTTCATATTTAAATTTGTAGCAAATAGGTGGCTGCTGTGTGTGTGTGTGTGTGTGTGTGTGTGTGTGTGTGTGTGTGTGTGTGTGTGTGTGTGTGTGTGTGTGTGTGTGTGTGTGTGTGCGTGTGTACTGGCCAGGCGCGCCGGATTCATTTTAGAAGTGGGGGGGGGGGGGCAAAAAAAGTGCGTATGGCCCAATCCCAAACCACGCCCTACACCTACACACTCCCCCTCCGTGACGGAGTGAACTCCGTGGAGTGACACATGAGGCTCCCTCCTGTCAGATGGAGGGAGTAAATACAGCAGCAAGCTTTGGGACAAACTCCCCTCTCTCTGGCAGAAACAGGAAATGCGTAACTGTATGTAGGTCTAACAACAGTTTCAAATCAGCATCTCTTTGACAACAAATGTAAATGAATAACTCAAATAAAACTCCAAACATCTTTAATTGTGTTACTTTTTTGTAAAGCTCTTTTAGTTTTAAACCTGATGTTTATAAGCTTCTTAGTTTTTGCAACAGTCTGTAAATATACACAACTTTATAATAAAATGCACACATTTACCTTTTTCTAGACTAAACACAGGTATGATCCTAAGTTAAAAAAATATGAGGTTATCATGAGGTTGTTAACATCGCAATTTATCACTATCGTTTAGTGGTTTTTCAAAGAATTAACCACTCTGTTTTTGTACCATTCTGCGTTGAAGTACCTTCTCTTTGCCCAAATAATCTACTAGCGGTCTCCTTTTTTCCGATAGTTAGCTGTACAGCTTTACCCGCCTCAATGTCCCGACAACAAACCTCCATGCAGTCGGAACCAGCCTGTTTCGGTCCAACGACGGCGGCGGCGGTTTTGACCGTTTCTGCGGGCGCAGAGGTGCTGCTTTTGGGTTCATCTGGCTTCGCTGTTTCTATGATTGATGAAGGTCCAGGCTCCGGAGATGTGGATGTCAGGGATGTGACCTTCCAGTTGTTAAATTTAAGTTTAGATTGACTGTATTTAGTTTTCTTCTGCGCTGGTTCTTCTGACATGTTTACAAGTGTATATATTATTTCTAGGTTAACGGCTGACACACACAGAACAACGTAACAAATAAAGTAAACAACGTAACAAATAAACAAATCTAAGCTTTTTTATTGGTTGTAATTTACATGGATACATTTAAATGGTGTGACAATATCCTATTTGATTGGTTTAAAATGTACATATTCTTCCTGTTATGTCTGCCTGCTTTATTTTACCTAATGCAAAGTGACGAAATCAGTCGCATTGACCCGAAGACACATTTTGATTCCTAGCTTTCTAATGTTATCAGGATTGTTTTTGTACTCCAAATATTAAGCAAAATATGTCACATTATATAATGACTGTTACAGAGTCATCATTTTGATGAAAAGGCCTTTAAGTTTTCTCTTCTCTGGAATCCATCATTTCTCATCATCAATCATCATGATTGATTATTAGCGGAGCAAATGATCAAAATACTACGGAGGGAAGATATTTTCGTTTGGATTACTGCACTCACGAGAAACACCGGCTGTTGTTGCCTGCTGTGACGTTAAATATACTCCGTTCTCAGCTTGTAATTATGCCGAAGCTTCAAAGTTTAATATTCTGAAAGCCAAGACTTTGCTTATTTGAAATCAGATAAAAACAAACTGTAACGGACCCTGCCGTGTTATCTATGATTACT